AGGAGCTCTGGAGATTATGGTAACCATTGTAGGAGCTCTGGAGATTATGGTAACCGTTGTAGGAGCTCTGGAGATTATGGGAACCATTTTTAGGAGCTCTGGAGATTATGGTAACCGTTGTAGGAGCTCTGGAGATTATGGGAACCATTGTAGAGCTCTGGAGATTATGGTAACCATTGTAGGAGCTCGGGAGATTATGGGAACCGTTGTAGGAGCTCTGGAGATTATGGGAACCTTTTGTAGAGTTTCGGGAGATTATGGTAACCGTTGTAGGAGCTCTGGAGATTAAAGGTAACCGTTGTAGGAGCTCTGGAGATTATGGTAACCGTTGTAGGAGCTCTGGAAGATATGGTAACCTTTTGTGGGGACTCTGGAGATTATGGTAACCGTTGTAGGAGCTCTGGAGTTTATGGAACCGTTGTAGGAGCTCTGGAGATTATGGTAACCGTTGTAGGACCTCTGGAGATTATGGGAACCATTGTAGGAGCTCTGGAGATTATGGGAACCATTGTAGGAGCTCTGGAGATTATGGTAACCGTTGTAGGAGTTTCTGGAGATTATGGTAACCGTTTTTAGGAGCTCTGGAGATTATGGGAACCATTGTAGGAGCTCTGGAGATATGGTAACCGTTGTAGGACTCTGGAGATTAGGTAACCGTTGTGGGAGCTCTGGAGATTATGGGAACCATTGTAGGAGCTCTGGAGATTATGGGAACCATTGTAGGAGCTCTGGAGATTATGGTAACCGTTGTAGGAGCTCTGGAGATTATGGTAACCGTTGTAGGAGCTCTGGAGATTATGGTAACCGTTGTAGGAGCTCTGGAGATATGGGAACCGTTGTAGGAGCTCTGGAGATTATGGGAACCGTTGTAGGAGCTCTGGAGATTATGGTAACCGTTGTAGGAGCTCTGGAGATTATGGTAACCGTTGTAGGAGCTCTGGAGATTATGGGAACCATTGTAGGAGCTCTGGAGATTATGGTAACCGTTGTAGGAGCTCTGGAGATTATGGTAACCGTTGTAGGAGCTCTGGAGATTATGGTAACCGTTGTAGGAGCTCTGGAGATTATGGGAACCGTTGTAGGAGCTCTGGAGAATATGGGAACCGTTGTAGGAGCTCTGGAGATTATGGTAACCGTTGTAGGAGCTCTGGAGATTATGGTAACCGTTGTAGGAGCTCTGGAGATTATGGGAACCATTGTAGGAGATCTGGAGATTATGGTAACCGTTGTAGGAGCTCTGGAGATTATGGTAACCGTTGTAGGAGCACTGGAGATTATGGGAACCGTTGTAGGAGCTCTGGAGATTATGGTAACCATTGTAGGAGCTCTGGAGATTATGGGAACCATTGTAGGAGCTCTGGAGATTATGGTAACCGTTGTAGGAGCTCTGGAGATTATGGTAACCGTTGTAGGAGCTCTGGAGATTATGGTAACCATTGTAGGAGCTCTGGAGATTATGGGAACCATTGTAGGAGCTCTGGGAGATTATAGTAACCGTTGTAGGAGCTCTGGAGATTATGGTAACCGTTGTAGGAGCTCTGGAGATTATGGTAACCGTTGTAGGAGCTCTGGAGATTATGGGAACCATTGTAGGAGCTCTGGAGATTATGGGAACCATTGTAGGAGCTCTGGAGATTATGGTAACCGTTGTAGGAGCTCTGGAGATTATGGGAACCATAGTAGGAGCTCTGGAGATTATGGTAACCGTTGTAGGAGCTCTGGAGATTATGGTAACCATTGTAGGAGCTCTGGAGATTATGGTAACCGTTGTAGGAGCTCTGGAGATTATGGGAACCATTGTAGGAGCTCTGGAGATTATGGGAACCATTGTAGGAGCTCTGGAGATTATGGGAACCATTGTAGGAGCTCTGGAGATTATGGTAACCGTTGTAGAACTCTGGAGATATGGGAACCATTGTAGGAGCTCTGGAGATTATGAGAACCATTGTAGGAGCTCTGGAGATTATGGTAACCGTTGTAGGAGCTCTGGAGATTATGGTAACCGTTGTAGGAGCTCTGGAGATTATGGTAACCGTTGTAGGAGCTCTGGAGATTATGGGAACCATTGTAGGAGCTCTGGAGATTATGGGAACCATTGTAGGAGCTCTGGAGATTATGGTAACCGTTGTAGGAGCTCTGGAGATTATGGTAACCGTTGTAGGAGCTCTGGAGATTATGGGAACCATTGTAGGAGCTCGGAGATTATGGTAACCGTTGTAGGAGCTTCTGGAGAATATGGGAACCATTGTAGGAGCTCCTGGAGATTATGGGAACCAGTGTAGGAGTCCTGGAGATTATGGTAACCGTTGTAGGAGCTCTGGAGATTATGGTAACCGTTGTAGGAGCTCTGGAGATTATGGTAACCGTTGTAGGAGCTCTGAGATTATGGGAACCATTGTAGGGGCTCTGGAGATTATGGTAACCGTTGTAGGAGCTCTGGAGATTATGGGAACCATTGTAGGAGCTCTGGAGATTATGGTAACCGTTGTAGGAGCTCTGGAGATTATGGTAACCGTTGTAGGAGCTCTGGAGATTATGGAACCATTGTAGGAGCTCTGGGAGATTATGGTAACCGTTGTAGGAGCTCTGGAGATTATGGTAACCGTTTAGGAGCTCTGGAGATTATGGGAACCATTGTAGGAGCTCTGGAGATTATGGTAACCGTTGTAGGAGCTCTGGAGATTATGGTAACCGTTGTAGGAGCTCTGGAGATTATGGGAACCATTGTAGGAGCTCTGGAGATTATGGTAACCGTTGTAGGAGCTCTGGAGATTATGGTAACCGTTGTAGGAGCTCTGGAGATTATGGGAACCATTGTAGGAGCTCTGGAGATTATGGTAACCGTTGTAGGAGCTCTGGAGATTATGGTAACCGTTGTAGGAGCTCTGGAGATTATGGGAACCATTGTAGGAGCTCTGGAGATTATGGTAAACCGTTGTAGGAGCTCTGGAGATTATGGGAACCATTGTAGAGAGCTCTGGAGATTATGGTAACCGTTGTAGGAGCTCTGGAGATTATGGGACCATTGTAGGAGCTCTGGAGATTATGGTAACCGTTGTAGGAGCTCTGGAGATTATGGGAACCATTGTAGGAGCTCTGAGATTATGTAACCGTTGTAGGTAGCTCTGGAGATTATGGTAACCGTTGTAGGAGCTCTGGAGATTATGGGAACCATTGTAGGAGCTCTGGAGATTATGGTAACCGTTGTAGGAGCTCTGGAGATTATGGTAACCGTTGTAGGAGCTCTGGAGATTATGGGAACCATTGTAGGAGCTCTGGAGATTATGGTAACCGTTGTAGGAGCTCTGGAGATTATGGTAACCGTTGTAGGAGCTCTGGAGATTATGGGAACCATTGTAGGAGCTCTGGAGATTATGGTAACCGTTGTAGGAGCTCTGGAGATTATGGGAACCATTGTAGGAGCTCTGGAGATTATGGTAACCGTTGTAGGAGCTCTGGAGATTATGGTAACCGTTGTAGGAGCTCTGGAGATTATGGGAACCATTGTAGGAGCTCTGGAGATTATGGTAACCGTTGTAGAGCTCTGGAGATTATGGGAACCATTGTAGGAGCTCTGGAGATTATGGTAACCGTTGTAGAGCTCTGGAGATTATGGGAACCATTGTAGGAGCTCTGGAGATTATGGTAACCGTTGTAGGAGCTCTGGAGATTATGGAACCATTGTAGGAGCTCTGGAGATTATGGTAACCGTTGTAGGAGCTCTGGAGATTATGGGAACCATTGTAGGAGCTCTGGAGATTATGGTAACCGTTGTAGGAGCTCTGGAGATTATGGGAACCATTGTAGGAGCTCTGGAGATTATAGGAACCATTGTAAGAGCTCTGGAGATTATGGGAACCATTGTAGGCGCTCTGGAGATTATAGGAACCATTGTAGGAGCTCTGGAGATTATGGTAACCGTTGTAGGAGCTCTGGAGATTATGGGAACCATTGTAGGAGCTCTGGAGATTATGGTAACCGTTGTAGGAGCTCTGGAGATTATGGGAACCATTGTAGGAGCTCTGGAGATTATAGGAACCATTGTAGGAGCTCTGGAGATTATGGGAACCATTGTAGGAGCTCTGGAGATTATAGGAACCATTGTAGGAGCTCTGGAGATTATGGGAACCATTGTAGGAGCTCTGGAGATTATAGGAACCATTGTAGGAGCTCTGGAGATTATAGGAACCATTGTAGGAGCTCTGGATATTATAGGAAACCATTGTAAGGAGCTCTGGAGATTATGAAACCATTGTAGGAGCTCTGAGATTCTAGGAACCATTGTAGGAGCTCTGGAGATTATGGGAACCATTGTAGGAGCTCTGGATATTATAGGAACCATTGTAGGAGCTCTGGAGATTATGAGAACCATTGTAGGAGCTCTGGAGATTCTAGGAACCATTGTAGGAGCTCTGGAGATTATGGGAACCATTGTAGGAGCTCTGGAGATTATTGGGAACATTATAATGAGCTCTGGAGATTAGTGGAACCATTGTAGGAGCTCTGGAGATTATGGGAACCATTGTAGGAGCTCTGGAGATTATGGGAACCATTGTAGGAGCTCTGGAGATTATGGGAACCATTGTAGGAGCTCTGTAGAATATGAGGGACCAGTGGCGGAGTAATGGACAGTGTTGACTAGGGTACTGCAGACGTCCTTCACCACCTGTTGCTCTCTCTCTAAGCATTACTGTTACTACTACTACTACTACTACTACTACTACTACTACTACTACTACTATTGTTAATACTTCTACCATTTTTATTATTACTGTTATTACTCTTAATACTACTACTGTTACTTTCGTTATTACTGTTATTACTTATTACTGCTGTTACTACTACTACTTCTATTGTTATATTATTTAATAAAGGGAGAGGGTTTAACTTGGGTTAAGTAAACTGCAACAAATATTTAAAGATCTTCCTGCTCCCCCTCCTCCCCCCCCCAAAAATAACATTACTCAGCGGTGTCTTAAATGCTGAACTTTATGTTACAGGGTCGTGTGGTGACACTGTTGCGTGGTCGAGGTACTACCAAGAGATATAACAAGAAGGTGACTTATTCCAGCTACAGCAGCCAGGCCTTCCCTCCTAGCGCACCTCTCCGTGAGTCAGACTCAGAGCTCTCCTTGTATTGGAGTCCGCAATACGACACAGTAATACTGTCTATGGCGTTTTAGTGATGAGGTCAGTGGCAGACCTATATTTCTGGGCCCTGAAGCTTGAGTTATTATAGAGGGCCCCTTCGCAACCCCTTCTCATACAGTAGACATAAAATTTTTAAGCAATGTGGACTAAAGCCGATGTTGGGGCCCCTCCGGATTAGGGGGCCCTGAAGCTTAAGCTTCATTAGTTTCAGAATAGATCTGCCCCTGGATGAGGTCCCCCGGTGGGTGAAACGTCTTCTCGGTAAAACGCCATAAACCATTAATATGTTGATATGCTGTACCACTGACATTAATGACGTTTCTCTCTGTCTACATCTCTCTCTCTCTCTCTCTTGTTGCTCTAACTTGCTTGCCTGTTAGTACCTAACTAAGCTCTCTGTGTCTGACATATCCATCTCAATCGTCTATATGAGTCTAACTTCCGTCTGACATATCTATAGTTGTGCAACTTGCTTAACAATGTTGAACATAACTGTTTATGTCTAACTTCATTATCTGTGTCTAATTTGCTTCTTTGTCTAACTTGCTTCTCACTTACCTGTTTATAAACTTACTAATTCCCATTAATCAAATTTTCTCCCAGAACAGATGTTATGTGATTGTTACCATGATGGTATATGACAAATGTCATGTGGAGGTGGTCGTCTTAGCTAGTGTCATGTGGAGGTGGTCGTCTTAACTAGTGTCATGTGGTGGTGGTCGTCTTAACTAGTGTCATGTGGTGGTGGTCGTCTTAACTAGTGTCATGTGGTGGTGGTCGTCTTAACTAGTGTCATGTGGTGGTGGTCGTCTTAACTAGTGTCATGTGGTGTGGTCGTCTTAACTAGTGTCATGTGGTGGTGGTCGTCTTAACTAGTGTCATGTGGCGGTGGTCGTCTTAGCTAGTGTCATGTGGTGGTCGTCGTCTTAGCTAGTGTCATGTGGAGGTGGTCGTCTTAGCTAGTGTCATGTGGCGGTGGTCGTCTTAGCTAGTGTCATGTGGTGGTGGTCGTCTTAGCTAGTGTCATGTGGAGGTGGTCGTCTTAGCTAGTGTCATGTGGCGGTGGTCGTCTTAGCTAGTGTCATGTGGTGGTGGCCGTTTTAGCTAGTGTCATGTGGAGGTGGTCGTCTTAGCTAGTGTCATGTGGTGGTGGTCGTCTTAGCTAGTGTCATGTGGTGGTGGTCGTCTTAGCTAGTGTCATGTGGAGGTGGTCGTCTTAGCTAGTGTCATGTGGAGGTGATCGTCTTAGCTAGTGTCATGTGGAGGTGGTCGTCTTAGCTAGTGTCATGTGGTGGTGGTCGTCTTAGCTAGTGTCATGTGGTGGTGGTCGTCTTAGCTAGTGTCATGTGGTGGTGGTCGTCTTAGCTAGTGTCATGTGGTGGTGGTCGTCTTAGCTAGTGCCATATGGTGGTGGTCGTCTTAGCTAGTGTCACGTGGCGGTGGTCGCCTTAGCTAGAGTCATGTAGCGGTGGTTGTCTTAGCTAGTGTCATGTGTTGCTAACCACTATTAGTGCCATGTGAAAGTTCCAACTATGTATTGGAATTAGGTGGCCCATGGCCTGGTGGTAAAGGCTCTCGCTTCACATGGTTAGTGTCAGGGTTCAGTTCCCGGCTAGGGTTGAAACATTGGAAGTGTTTCCTTACACCGGTTGTCTATATTCACCCATTAGTATAAAATGGGTACCTGGGTGTTAGTCGACTGGTGTGGGTCGCATCCTGGGACAAGGACCTAATTTGCCCGAAATGCTCTGCATAACAAGTGGCTTTCTGCATAGTAGTATGTCACTGATGTCAGCTAGGACCTTGTATATAATTATCTTATTTTGCATGTTAAGTTAGTACTTATTTTGATGTTTTGCTACCGGTGTGGTCATCCATTTTATTTATCTACAATGTTATCCACGTCCTTCTCTAATTCTTACCCACAGTGTTATCCACGTTTTTATCCATATTTTATACGAACTGATATCCACTTTTCTCTCTATTATATTCTTCGTTATCAACTTTGTTTTTATTTGCAATTTTGCTTGGGATATCCACCTAATTTCCACGTCCGTTATGCTTGTTATGTATGTTAGCCATGTTACCTATTTTATGCACATAGTTATAGGTAACAGTGTTATAAGTATTATCCTCTTTCTCAGGCCCGTTATTTGTGTTATTTGCGTTGTTAAATATGCTATTAACATTCCTAGAGTTCAGAAAACTGACTCAGACTTTCCAATAGGAAACATCGGCTATAAAATTAAACTGAAGAGGAATTCTCTGGTTATCTCAGAGGAATAAATATCTTAAAATACATCAACACGGTAATCAACGTTGAGTGATGAAAACTTTTAGAAGAGGAACTCGGAAATTGTCATACGAAAATCATTATGTCAAATATGGAATTCTTTTATTGGTCAGAAAAGCAATTGCGACCAACACAGGCCAATATAAATCAAAATTATTTTCCTAAGTAAGATTTACCATCATCTAAACTTTAAGTAGACATGTAAGTAATAAAGTGAGATTTATTAAGTTAATATTATATAGATTTAACCTAAGGTAACCCAATAAAATCAAACTGTGATTTATTTCTGATCAGAAGAGACTCAAGTTATTTCAGGCAAACCAATTTGATTAATAAAATTAAAATTAATAACTAACAAAACGTGAAACCAAGACAAAACTTCCACTGAGAAAAACACATCAGTTCTATCAGTTTAAAATCAGATCAGAAAAATCAATATATAGTTATTGCAACCCCCTCCCCCCCCCCCACACACACACAAAAAAAAATTGCACCTGAACGACCTAAAGCCAAAAAGTTGTTCATGTATTTCGTAAGACGAATGAGCTATTAAATATTGACACTGTTCACCAGTGGGGTCAGACAACACCTGTACAATGTGATGCTTTCACATGGCATCCTAACAAAGGAAGGATAACTCCAGTGTCTTGGATCAAAAGCCTCTCACAAACATCATGGTAAACAAACGCAATAATGTAAATTAATAATGTATCATTTCAGGATTAAAAGTGCCAAAATTTGTACATTATGTAGCCAGTTGTTTAAGAAAACCTACTTAATTACTTACGTGCATACTTAAAACTTAAACACTTGTAAATCTTACTCATAAAATTTTTTACATTTTTTGGGGATGTACTGGTCCCAGTTTGCATTTGGGGGGGGGCGAGGGGGGGTACTGAATCATTGATTTTCATGAGATAATTTCCAAGTGAAAACTGAGACGCATGTGCAACATCTGGGTATCTTTATTGTAGACGTTTCGCCATCCAGTGGCTTTATCAATACAGATTCTAGGACATAATTTGAAGACAGAACTATATACAAAAGCTGAGGTAATCAGTCCCTCAGTCTTGAAGATGGTGTGATGAGCACCGTAGTCGTGGAGAGTCTTCACGACTACGGTGCTCATCACACCATCTTGTCGGTATTGTATGCCATTCTCGTACAATTTCTAAGTTTTTTATCCAAATTCCTTCAGCCTTCAGTTATGAAAACTTAATAACAGTCTCTGAGCGACTTTAAATTTAATGTGTTGGTATATTTTAGCATATTTTTCCCTTTAACATAAAAAAATTCCTGTTAATTTTAGCCTCAAAGTTAGTGTTTTTTTAGTGGAAGTTTTGAATTAGTTTAGTTGTGTGTGTGCCCTAACTTGCCATTTTTATTGGAGAAATCGGGATTGATTTTAAATCTTCAATACTGGTTTTTACCTGCATTTTCAACATATACCGCACTCTGCACTAATCTTTTGCGTCCATCGAGGTACACGGGACTGGGGTTATGCAATACAGGGATTCATTTTGTTCCCGTTAAAGTGATTTAACGGGAACAAAATGTTCACACCAATTTACAAATCAAATGACCAAATCCGCATTGCACACTCTTGAGTGTCACTCTTCGCCATCGTCAAATTAAGAAACATTATTTTTTAACATTTAAATTAGGCTACCGAAGGTTTTGGAAGTTAATGGAACCATTCCATGATAATAGAAGTGGGTTGAAAAAAATTAAAGGACACGAACACAGGCCAAGTGTTCCAAGAATATTTCTAATTACCATAAACAACTATTGAAATTTTGAAGCCAGTTCAATGAGGCTTTCCACGGTTATTAACAAATTCTAAACAACAAATTAGAGCAAGAAAAAAAAACGCAAGAAAAATTCCTTCGACCTATTGAAAGTATCCCTTTATAGATACCAAATTTTGCTTAAGTAGAACTGCTGCTACTTTTTTGTACTTTCCAGTAACATTGACTCCATTGTCTTTTGCCTAAGCAATGTGTCTGTTCAAGGTAACAATTTTTTTTTCCAGTCTTCTCACAAAATAATAATAAAAATCTGTATTCCATTGAAAATGATGAACTTTCTACAATCTTAATGTATCGAAGAATTATAGTAGTATAATCAACGCCTGGACGGTCCGTCCCAGTGCACGGGAGAGGAATATTAAATACTACTGTAGTTAAATATCAACTTGCAATATCTGAAGCCAATCAGAAGGGGCATTTACAAGTTATTACATGGAAATGAATATGCCATTTTATTTAATAAATATGGCGAATTGGGACTAACACAGCCCACACTATTTCAAAAGCACCACAGTTGATAATATAATAGCTTTAAAAGTTTGAAACCAATCAGAAGATACATTCTCTAGTTATTGTGTTGAGATCATTATCCAGAAATACAGGAGCACTTTAGGTTTAAGCCTCTCAGAAGTTGCATTCTCAAGTTGTGTGTTGATGGCTTGCAACGGATTAGACGATGCGGTCACAAATTTTCGCATGACAGCCAATATTTCAATTTTCCAAATTTCTTTAGTAAAATAGGCAAAAATGTCATTCACACAGCCGAAAATCAATTCATAACTTCGTCGAAGCTTTCTCAGTTTATTGCACTGAAAATATTTAATCAATACAGCTGGTAAACTATCACTCCCGAATTC